CTGGCAAAGGCTTCCGTTCCCACTGAAGAGCCAGTTGCTAAATACTAACTAGAACAGACACCCAGACAGCTGGAGGGTCTGGAGGGAGGGAAGAGCCCAAAGAAATGAAGACAAAGAATCAGAGTAGGGAAACACCTTGTCTAAGACCCTGCGGCAGAACTAGAATGTGAGTCTCTAGACTCCAGGCTCTTGTGGGGAATCATCGTTGGGAAGTTCAAGGGAAGAGAGTCCCTCTTGGAGTTAGTAACATCATGAAAGACACATCAGGACTTACCCTCCTGGATAGCAGGTCAAAGCAGAGCTTGTTCTCACTGGTACCCAGGTTAATGATGCCCTGGAAACAAGACGCACGAAAACCAGGGTGAGCATGGTGGAATGGAGTCACTGAACGGCCCAGGGGCCCCACTGAGGGGGCAGGACAATGGGAGTTCTCTGCAATCCCACCTCCCACTCAGCGCTCTGATCCTCTTTCCATTTCTAATGCTCTTTTCAAATACCATCTCTTCCACTGAAAGCCTTCCCTAAACCCCACCCAAGAGAAAGCTTTCCGTCTTCTGGACCCTGAAGTACTTTCTCTGTCCCCACCTTTCTCCTTAGAGGCCTGGTCAGTTTCTGCCCAAGGTTACAGGGACTCATGTACACGCTTTATCTCCCTTTATCATGTATTATACATATGTATCTTTATCCTCTGTCTCTCCCACTAGAGTATAAACTCTATGAGGACAGGCTATTTGTCTTTGCTCACCTCTGTAAAGCTGACACCTAGAATAGTTCCCTGCACCTGGTAGATGCTCAACAAATAAAGACCGTTAAAGGCTTATTTCAACATCTGTCTGAGCTCTACAGGCATTCTTACTATTGCTACTAACAATTTATAATAATTGGGACAAATAATATGAGTAAGAACAGCTACCACGTATTGAATGTGTCACATGTCAAGAACGATGCTAATAATTGTATATACTTGCTATCATTTCACCGTGGCTATTCTACAAGTCCCTGGGAGGCACAAATGGTTAAGAGTTGGGATACTAACTGAAAAGTTGACTGTTCAAACCCACCCAGAGGTGCCTGGGAAGACTGTCCTGGTGAGCTGCTTCCAAATGGTCACACCCATGAAAATCTTTAAGAGCACAGTTTTGCTCTGAAACACATTTGTTGTTGTTGTGTGCCTTGGAGTCAGTTCCGACTCACAGCGACCCTGTATAGGGTTTCCAAGGCTGTAAATCTTTATGGGAACAGAACGCTTCCTCTTTATCCCATGGAATAGCTGGTAGTTTCGAACTTCTGACCTTGAGGTTAACAGCCCGATTTGTAACCACTACGCTACCAGAGCTCCTTCTGAAACACATGGGGGTCCCCTTTATTATGAATGGGCCGGTTTCAGATCCAGTCAGTGAACCCTTTGAGCTACATTAGAAGGTGTCTTGGTAATGTCAGTCTAACAAAGGCAAGCTGGGGGCTGTCCTGTTGGTCAAGGAGTTCCTCTCTTGAGGCCCAGGGATGAGGGGAGCTTCACTCACATTGGGGTTCTTGTCCTCATCATATTCATCCATGTGGTAGGTCCTGTAGCCCTTCTCTGCTGAGTCCCAGAACCACTTAATGACACTGCCTCGAGAGGACAGGTCGGAGCTGCCAGAGGAGAACATGGCAGTGGGATCACCCACGCCGTACAACTTTTGATCTGGTTTTCTGGAACATTCCCTTTCTGGACCATTGTCACAGCAACTGCCTGGGTCCTGTGTGGAATCTAGGCCTGGACAGGTGGTAGGTTCCCAGGATTCCTTCTGAGGGAGGGTGGACATCTGTGAAAAGAAAACGGCACTCAGTACACAAGTTGGCTCAAGGACTTTCTACAGCACTTTGTCTCTCATGCTTCAGACATATTGTCAGGAGGGACACGAGTCACTGGAGAAGGATATCATGTTTGGTAAGGTGGAGGGTCAGAGAAAAAGAGGAAGACCCCCAGTGAGATGTATTGGCAATACGGCAGCATCAGTGGGCTCACATGTGGCAACAACTGTGAGGTTGGCCCACAGCCGGGCAGTGTTTTGTTCTGTTGTGCATAGGGTCACTATGAGTCAGTACCAACTGGATGGCAGCTAACAACAAGAAGCAATGACTAGAAAGCCTCGTGGCCTCCCCCTTTTAAGTTGATGTACTTGCCTTGTACTTTCCTGTTTGTATCCATGTATACAATCATGCCAACAAGTAAAACCAGCTAAGGACCCACGATGTGCCAGGGACTGTGCTTACTCCTCCTTAGATGGCTGACTTATCACTGCTTTAGCTTGTTTCATTCCTTGTTTAGTTTTTCACTCTGCAATCTAAGGGGTTAACAGTGTTCATTGTCCAGTCTGATTGTCTCCATTTAAACTAACCAGGTTAAACTTCTGAGATACAACAGACCTTGGCCTGGAAGTCCAGGGGGTCCTGTGGGGGGAAAGGCAGAATGAGGCTATCTGGTGGCCTGAAGCAGACGGTGGGTAAGGGGCTGTAGAGGAGTTGGGGAGGGGGTGCCTTTATTATGAATGGTGTGCAAACACCTCAGGGGGAGCTCCAGGGCACCCTCTCCACTATGAAAGGAAGGAGAAGGAGAGATAGGGAGGGTGGATGAAGAAGGTGGGTGGTTTCACTTGGAGGATGTGAGCTCCTTCTCTTCATAGGCCTATTTTTCTCATCTGTAGAGGGCGGGAACAAATGATTGTCTACAGATAAAACACTTAGAACAAATCCTGACTCATGGTCAAAATTCAATAAAATAGGAGTTTTGTATTACTCCTTGTCCTGGTGCATAGGCCCCCCCCCCACACATACCAAAAGATGGGTGACCAGCTGGGCACAAAACCCAAGGGGTCCCTGCAGTTAAATTCTGTTCTAGGAAGTCTTGGCTGGGCTTTCCAGAGTGCTCATCTTGTCCCTCCCTACAGACAGCCCGGGTCCCGGAAAGGGACAGAGAGACCTGCGGCTATGGAGCCTCTTGGTTCCCGGAGGCTCTGTTCCTTGCTGGGAGCGAGTTCTCGGGGAGAAAGTGGACTCCAGTGGGCACTGGGTCAAGTGGGGAGCTGAGGTGACAGCGAGTCTGCAGCCCGACCCCAGATCCGGAAGGAATGCAGAGACAGACAGAAAGGGCCCTCTGCAGGGCGGAGGCCGCCTCGCAGACACGGTTCCAGGTTTCCCATAGAAGGCAAAGTCCGTGCAAACTGAAGTGAATCCTCCAGGTTGAACACAAACGGAGGCCTGATTGGCCCCAGCTCTGCAAAGTG